CGTTCAAATAATTCGCCAGTGACTTATCTATCAGAAATGTTAAAATAACAGTATCGTAGTACAAACTGCTACTCACATGATAATATTTTTTCATTAATCATTAAATTTTTACAACATCGATTCTCATAAAAAACTGCTCCATGTGTAAATAATGATGAACACGTGAAGATAATGGTTGAAAGTTTATAAATAAATTTTGCATGAATATAAAAATGTGTTTTTTATGACAAATAAATTATGTCATGTAGACTTTATGTAAAGAAATGAAATATTCATCCTTAAAATTATATGGGAATCTAATATTATAAATAAAAAAATATTTCAAGAATCAAGTGCTCGCTTTTACAATGTTAATAAGAAACCCCTGTAAAGAATAGATTAAGTAATTTTTATTAGTTTAAACTAAACAGACATACAAAAGCTCGGCAAGAAGAAGTTACGAGTACAACCACAATTTTTACATTTAAAAAATATGAAACAATTCTTATAGGACAGAAATACCCAGTATTTTTTTCACAATGTACCTTTTATATGTCTGAACTCTTCTACATACCCCAGTATGCTTTATTTTACGTCTACTACATTATAGTACTATATACGTATAATAAATATATAACTCGTAATAAATTATTACGCCCTAACTGTAAGTATCTGTGATAATGATTAAAGAATTTTATATTTGAATAAACATGATTTCAATGTGCATGCGTCCAGGCAGTGAAACATTATTAAAGGTCTAATCTACTAGTAAGTGACCTTAAAATATGCACAGAGTAGCGTTCCACAGAGCTTTTATAAATAAATTATTCATTTATATGAACTGAAAGAAGTTAAAATAATTTTTAATAATGTATATTGAAACTTTAGTTATTCTTCTAATACTAAATATGTAGATGTAAACCGTTTCTAGAAAAGGTTTGTTTTATGATATTCCACCAAGTACATAATAGTTTTTCTAATAAAAATTATTCTCATACTTGGGTTTGATTTTTTACTAGCTCTATACGGGTTTGTTATTATTATTATTATTAATTCCTAATCATAAGACATTATATGTTTTACTGTAGAAGGCTATAAAACAACAAATTAATTTAAAATTCAAATCATAGCGTCATCTTCCTTTAATGGTCGAGCTATCAATAAACAAATACTTTATATAAACAACATTTTATTTTATCAATTAATAATCTACAATGTGATAAATTTTAGTGCTTAATCACGTCTCAACATTTTTCAATATTGTTTAAATATTTTTTGAATTTATTTTGTATATACATAAATAATATGTATATCAGTTTTTGTTTTGAAATGTTATCAAAAATAGAAAAGTAGTAATATATAAATATTTATTTAAATGACTTGCTTTATTTAATTAGAAATTTGAGTCTTAAAGAAAATATGCTTTAGTAAGTAAAAGAGAATAAATCAATAAGGTTTTGCAATGTGTTTGTCTAAATATATATTTCTAAATTTAAATTTCTAATTTATATTTAATTATGTTAAACGTTTATTTTGATAGTTATAAGATAGTAATGTAGCAGAGAATAACATACCTTAATTCACAACTACTTTGAAATTAATAATAAATAATTATAGGAATACATGACATTAGCAACTTAAGTATTTGAAAGAAGTATCGAAAGCTTTAACAAAATCCTCTTAAAATCGACCTATATATATTGAAGTGTTAATTTTAACATCTAGTTGTAAAGAATGTATAGAAGCTTAATAAATTCTATATAAACTACATACAGCTCTGTACATTTAATGTCTGTACTGTTGCCGGCCACTCATTTTCCTTTCATTTGGCCTTGCGCATGCGTGATACACTAACGTTTAACCAACTATAGTGGACATTGAATTATAAAGATTTTACACTTTTTGTGCTTCACACGGAATATAAAATAAATTTTCGTTATCTTATAATCTTGTTAATGACAAGAAATTTTATGATTTAGTTCAAAAACCAGTAACATTCAACACGACAACGCAATAAAGCCTTGAAATACTTAAACCAGTGTTATGTACAGTACTTACGAGTTTTGTAATATCAGAACAAAAAGATATAATAGCCAATTAAGGACATGAACTCGCTTAGATTTGCAGCTAAATATTAAACTTTTCGTAACATAGAAATATTTATACATATTAAACAAACATTTAAGAATCTTTCAGAGTTGTTCTTGTTGATCTGTCTTTTATGTGTTAGCCATCATTAACATGAGATACATACTTCTTCTTGGATACGGACGTTATATGAAATAGAATTGCATCACAGAAACAATATGCTTACATTAAGTTTTACGGACAGTTAACACTTTCATTCATAAATCTTCACACATTAATATCATATATTACTGAATTAGAAAACAAAAACGTTTAGTAACTAGCGTGACGATACAAGCAGTAATCATACAGTTATATTTTCGACCGTCAAAAACATTTAATACGACAAAAATAGTGGGACTAAAAAATCTATTCATAATTTTTTGAAACAATAACATTTGACCTCAACTTTAGTCTCATTAGCGGCGAGCGACACTGACCTCAAATTAATTTTTATTTGATTCACATCACAATAATAAAAAGTTAACAATTTGACCTATTACGTGAATTTTATATAATTTATATTAACTTAAATCCTCTAACAGTAATATTTATATAATAATTTTAAATGTAAGTAATATTTAGCATTGAATATTTCGTCACTGAAATATCATGCGTTGTATCTCAAGAATCAAGATTATATATATTGTTTTAAATTCGGTTCAGTTTTATATCTCCGTATGAAAGGCTTGAGAAAATTTTAATCTTAGGAAGAAATATTCATGAACCTTTGCGTTCTTTTAATTACTTTTTTTTTGTTGCCACTACGCCATTGTAGTGATTTTAAATTAAAATTGCCCGGAGCTTTGTCCTTATTTCGCATTGTGTGTACCTAGTGATGCATTCTAACAGGTCAAATGCAGAATAGGTTTTGTTGTGAGCACGGGCTATACGTATTAAGATAACGAGATCATTTTAGCATCACTGGAGCGTCATCGGCTAATAGCGTCGGTTAAGCGACGCATTTACCAGCACTTCACTTACCATAATGATAATTCTATACGCGACCTAACGTGGCTCAGTCTGAAATATCCTGGAAATTATCTATATGTGATCGGTGATACAGAAAAGGTTTATCCGAAAATTATGACTCTCTCCGAGGGTTATAAAGATTAATCCAATCAAACCCACTGACAAACTTTATATCATAGATTATTTTGATATATATATTTTTAAATATCTTCTTGAGTATTTTAAATAAACTTTATTCTTATTTTCTATTTAAAAAGATTACTCTCTCTTATTTTATTCTATAATAATTCTTTTTTATTTTACGATTATATTACTGCATATATTAAGATTTAAAATTTAAACGATTTAAGTTAACATACTTGAAATAGAATGATATATACCGAGCTTTGGCAAAAATTTTAAACCATTTTCAACTACAGTTCTGAATTTTAACCCTATGACTTCCATTTCAACATACTCTCGTGAAAATTTTGTTAGCAAATTTTCCTTGTTAAAATTTTTTGGGGTTTCGTTAAAATGGCTGTATTTACTTTGACAAAAAATACATAAACATTTTAATGTAGGATTGTAAGTCAATGCTATCATCATGCTTTAAATTTACGAAAGGTTTCAATGACAATGTGTGATAAATATTGTTGAATTTTTTATACATAGAAAATTTGTTAAAAGATACCTGGATGTAGTGATTCAATTCTTTCTAGCATTTCATATAATATTCCTTATTTTAGCATAGCTTAATCACTATTATATGAAATAAACAAAAACTTCATCATCAGCCTATCAGAGCCCACTGCTGAGCAAAGGCCTCTTTCTCACATGGAGAAGACGGGTTGCTCAAGACGGGTTGGAGATTTCAAATTTATAATTGTGAAACTATAAGTCCAGGTTTCCTCACGATGTTTTCCTTCACCGTATGTCAGTGGTATCTAAATACTCTCAGAAAGTACATATGACTCCGTAAAATCACATTGGTACTTGCCAGGTTTGAACCCGCACCCTCGGCAACGAGAGGCGTGCCCTTTAACCACTGGGCCACCACTGACTAACATAAATTTAAATAATTCATGACAACCAGTTTCAGAAAGATTTATTTCAAAAACGAAATCGTTAATATGAAATCAATACCCAGTTTTCTGTTAAATATTATAGATTTATTAGAATCGGAATGTCCTTTCGAAATGGATATTTAAAATAGATATAGCAATTTATAAACCTGCCTCAAAATCCAATATCTGTAACGGATGGTTGATGCATTATTCATGAAAACGAAAACTGTAATCCCGAACAGAATTTACAACCTGTTTATATAGAAACTAACATAGACAAATATGTGACTTTATTATTAAATGTAGACACAAAAGATAAATGATAATCGTATAAAATTATATTTAAATTAAATAAATACCCAACAATATTCAACAGTCAATTTTTCTTCCTTTATAAATTATAATCAATTAAGTTTTTTTCTTTTATGTAGTATCCAAAATACATACGAGGACGATTAATTATTAGCATAATCGTGACTTATTTTAATTATTATAAAATAAACAACACGAAATAATAGTTTATATTGCATAGCAATATATTTTAAGCAAATGTGACTAAAGTGTAAATTTATTTTAAGGCAAAACCGATTTTAGACATTTCATTCACATTCGAAACTACTTCTGAAACATTTTCAATTTTAATCCACCCTCGTCTTAAAAAAGCACGTTCCGTCATTGGTCATGTAATTCAAAAAAATTAGTGATAAAAGAATATGAGACTTGTGTAGTATATTTATATCGAGTTTGACATTTATCTAAAATTACCCTACCATATTATCCCTTTGAATTACTAACTAAACTTGAGTGAAATCAGCAAATATAGTCGTATTATGGAGTTAATACATTTATTTTAATATAATATTTTCATTGTTACAGCTGCCACCGAGACTTCTTCGGTATATTGTGACCTTTCTCTTCATAATCACAGTACTAGCACCATCTTCAGATTCTTCAAGTATGTATTGTATTTTTAATTTCAACTACATACGTGCTAGCTTTAACATAAAATGATATCAATATGTTCCCCTTTTCCATTTAAATTGTATATATAAATCCCAATAGCATACTGTGTATTGGAAATAAAAATGGTATTTATATGGAAATAAGAAATATTTTCACGAGAGACTTGAGGTTACTGTATTCCAATCCGTTTCAAAGCAATAAATTTCCCGTGTGTTCAATTCAAAGCTCGCGGAACTGGATCTGAGCTGTGAAAAATATTAAAGTGAATTGAACTGTAATATTTTACTTTTAAAGTGTATTTTTAATTGGAGAGCGAACAGGAAAAGTGCACAGGAACTTCATAAGTTATAGTTTTATGTGCTAGAATTTAAATCTGTTTGCCCGCATAGTGATTTAAAATGTGTTACATTGTAAAGAAGGATTTTATATTTTTAAATATATTTCAACAGAATTCCTAAGCTAACAGCCATGTGAAATAACTTTGTTTGTAAAGTCATACAAAATGTTCATGCAAAGTGTACTTATTGTTATTCTCTTTACCAGGCGTCCGCAGAAGATTACGGAAACCGAGCAAAGTATCCACTTCAGTAACAACCAGTGTATCTAGATCCACGGATCAGGTGATATCGGCTAGCGTTAACAGGCCAAAGATCCGTGGCCGGCCCAGTGTCGCTAGCCGCAAGTCATCTGCGGCCATAGACAATTCTGTTGGCACTGAGGACCATAAAGATAAAGATGGTTACAAGGCGAGTATCTATATATTATTCTTATATAAATTATCATAGCAATATAACCAAAAAATTATATAAATGATTATTTAAAATATTCGTATATTAATATTCAGAAGTTTGCCTCAATGATTCAGCAAACAAATCATTACATAGTGTTTTATACAGAGCTAATAAAAAATATATAATTAATGTTGCTACCGGACCGGTTATTTAGAAAGGCAATATGAATTTCCCTTAGAGAGGCATGCCAGGAAACGGCAGCCTTCTCAACTTGAGCCTTGCCAATACCTAGATACAAATTTACATTTACCAACCCAACATTCGGCCAAGCAAATTTTAGCCTTAACAATATGGAAATAAGTCGAAATCCGACTGTTTTAAAATATTATGTCTTTCTCAATAGTTACAACGCGGATATGGACAAAGCTTTCGGAAGGCGATATGAGTGAAGTTGTTAACCTTCATAGTGATCATACATATACGTATTTATAGTTTGGAGCCATTAACACTTCTATATTGTAGCTCGTTGAGGTTAATTTTCCTTGAAGGAATAGCTAGGTCAATAGCATAAATAAGGACAATTAAGCTGCTTTTAATGTGCTCAATATAAAGGTATAATTTTATAGAGTTTTAACGTTGCCATGATAGCAATAATGATGCTGCAATTACTATTTATCTACTTGTATGGATATTTAATGTTCAAACCTAGTATCTGCAATAGCTGTATAAAATACTTATTATACAAAGAATATAATAAAAGGAATAAATCTATAAGTCAGTTGTTTTATCCCTCTCAATGGAAAATTTGTTGGCGATGAACTTAATTGGTGAAAAAATCTTAATATTAATGCAATAATTTAATAAATTGGGTACTCCTAATATTTAGGAGAACTTAAGGCATGTATATAAGTTATGGAATTTGAAGTTATAATTTCTTTTCCTCTATAGATCGTCTGCTACTACACGAACTGGTCTCAGTACAGAACAAAAATTGGTAAATTCACACCCGAGGACATACAGCCAGATCTTTGCACTCACATCATTTTCGCCTTCGGATGGATGAAGAAAGGAAAACTCGGCTCCTTCGAATCCAACGACGAGACCAAGGATGGCAAAGTTGGGCTTTACGACAGAATAAACGAACTGAAAAAAGCTAACCCTAAATTGAAGACTCTTCTTGCTATAGGTAATAATAACACTTCATTTGGTGAATATACAGAATACGTATGATGTAATCTACCTTTTAAATTGATATAAAACACGAAAGAGCCTTGCAATCATGATTTATGATAAATACTTTATATTTCAACCGTCAAATGTAATTGGTTTGATAATTATATTATCTTTCCGGGCGTTTTGTTGTTAAAGTAAATACACTGCCCTTAATCATTGGTTTAACTAACATACAATATTACTTTCACCTTGTTTTCACTTTGCACAGTCCTATACACATTTAAAGTAACAATGGCTACGCTTGTATGTCGTATGCAAACGATATGATTACCTGCTAGCTATAATATGTCATTGCGTAATTGTCATAGCTCACGACCCATGTAAAGCATGAACTTTCTAATGCGAACCCAATACTTCCTTGTACTGTAGGAAGTAATACTAGCCCTTCATTGGAACGGACATCCGTAATACCGTGAAAGTGTTCACTAAAATATATATGGTCTTACTCGTATAATGATCGGTTTTTTTGCGAAGTAATTGCGTTAGTTAGAGTACATTCATTAAGTTTACGTACATCACATGTATTCATCGATAACGATGACATCTCGTGTGAACTGCGCCGGTTCTCACGTATTGAGTGTTCCATATTTTCACCTATTTTAACAGAATTCCGACAAAAAAAGTCTATTTTCATAAGCGAAACGTGCCGCAACAAAGGAATCGAAACGTAATCTACATTTTTTGTCGATCTATTCACTTCACTTCAGGGAAACGTTGTATTGTTATAGTTTTAACTTTGTGCTATGGAATTTTATGACACTGCACGTACCTTGTACTATTACTGCTTTGTATCTATTGTCTCAATGAAATTAAACTCTATGACCTGATAGTTTCATGTTATTACAGTTGCTGATGATTTTTGGAAGTATTTGTAAAACAAAAAAATAATTGTTTAAGCTATGAACTAATAGAAGATAATCCTCATAAAATTTCAATTGTCTCCATGTATAACTAATCATTTTTATCTGCACATATTAATGTAATTTAATTTCTTAGGCGGCTGGTCCTTCGGTACTCAAAAGTTTAAGGAAATGTCAGCGACTCGCTACTCGAGACAGACGTTCATATACTCAGCTATACCGTACCTCAGGGATAGAAACTTTGACGGTTTAGATGTGGACTGGGAGTACCCTAAGGGTGGAGACGACAAGAAGAACTACGTGTTGTTGTTAAAAGGTAAGACAAGATCTATTAATATATACGACATTTATATACAGGAAGCATCAAAATGTATCAGTGATCTGAACAACTTTTATATTGTTTTGTTTAAAAGACTTAATGAATCATAAGGCCGAAGTCTTTGAAGGCTCTAGTGTAGTTTATCTTATGTAACTCTGTTATCCCTTACTTATAATTTGTATTTTTATTTGTAAATTTACTTTTTGATTTTCGAATTGAATGAAAATTAATTGAGTTTCGAAATGCAGACAACGAATTGCGTTGCCAATATTTCATAGTATTTGATCAACGGAATTCAATTTTCGCTGTAATATTTTATATATACACAAGGCCTTTAATCGCTACAATAATCATTATATATACACTTGGATTTAAATTAAGGTACTATTTGTAGCCTTCTAACTTCAAGCTATTAGTCATGCAATCTTTGAACTTATTTTACCTGCGTATAACTTTATGATGATTATTATATTATATTATTCGTGAAATAAGGTAAAAAAAAGTCGTAAACCCTTATATAAATGAGAAATTTTCTTTTATTCTTAAAGTTTATTTATGCTAAAAATAATGTTTTCAATAACACTACAGTAGGACCCCGATTATCCGGACCTCGGTTATCCGAATTCGCGATTATCCGGACTGCCAATCGCGACGAGTTTATTCTAACATTAACATGTCAGAACTTGCATAACGCCACGCCACTTATAACACTTATACGTACATTATGTACAATTTCTTAATAAACGTTGATTTTCGCTCATAGTGGCGGCTGGTGGGTAATCGACCCGGTGGTGCACTTTACTAAAATATTAAAATTAGAAAATGCAACAAAACAATATAACGAGATGTCAATCGAGAACCGACTCGTTACTCGGTACATTTCTATGAACTATCTTTTGTCTCACGCGTCAGGCGTATTGATGCGTGTCTCATACAAGATGTATTAGCAGTCCTCGTGCACTCGCCGAAGCGCACGATATTAGTTTAGTAGAGCAATCAAACTTTTTGACCATAATTAGGAAATTAAATTTTTTATACTTTTTTATATGTTTAAAAAATAAATATTAAAATGTTAATTTAAAAATAAAGATGAAGTAATATTTTGTAATTTTTAAATCTTTTGAATTGGTGGTTCAGCGCACGAGTGCACTTAAGGTACAGCCGCCACTGGTACTGACTACATATGTACATATGCAAAAAGCCCGTTTTTCTTCATATATTGGATTATCCGGACTTTCAGTTATCCGGATGCCTACCGACAACAATTAGTCCGGATAATCGAGGTCCTACTGTATTAGAAAAAAATATACATTTGTGTATATTTACTTCTCATACATTATTTTATTTTTTGGATGTATGACACATGAACTGATTCAGTCTTAACATCTCGTCGAGTGAAAAAGGTTTCCGACTAAAAATATGTAACAAGCATATATGAGTCAAGAATAAAATATTCATAAACACTTTCTTAAATGACTGTACTTTCATTTCTCATGATTCATTCGGTATGAAACTATATTAGTCATATATAATTAGTAAGTCTAATTCTGGCTACATTTATATTAATAAATTAATTATAGTCTTGAAATCTGAGATGCGGAGAGCGATCGTTTGCGGTTAATTAGGAAACACAGGATTAAATGACTAATCTCATTATTATATTAATACATGAACACTTTGATATCTACATATATTAAAATGACATATTCAACTAACCGTTTACTTTTAACTAGTTTTGTTAAAGAAATAAAATTGTAGTTCAGTTATAAGTCAATTTATAACTTTATAAATCTAAAATACGGGCTTTGTATTAAAATTTTATAAGTGCATATTGTTCATAGAATATTTGTTATAAAATTTTATCTAATAAATTTTTAAAGATTTTTCTCTGAATATATTTTAAACAATCCTATAATACGTATTTATTATTGAATAAAGTGTAAAGAAGTACAACAAGTTGACATTTAAGTTACACAATTTGATCTTTCACCAGTTATAAGACAATAACATGGAAATAGTTACAAAGGAAGCAACAGTATTAAAATAATATGAGTAAACAAAGTCACTTGCAAATGCCAATATTATTACAACAGTTGAAAGCACATGAAGATCATGTTTTATGTACGGTGAGCACGTAGTGACCCCATAGATTCGCTGTCTGACCTCCAACGAGTTGCGTCACTTTTCACATATTGAAGAGACCACTTCTTGAATAATAAATTTCTGCTAGCATGACCACCCTTTTATTTGACACATCCTGATATACTCAACTATGTAAGAACTTATATCCTGATACTTATTAGGATTGTCCATATGTACTATCCAATGAAACTGATTTTTCAATATAAGCTTTTTCTCTCTTCTTTCACAATCAACTAATGATGGGTCACTCATGCTTGAGAAATAATAAGGTTGTGCAAACCTATTGTTGTATGTTGTAATTGGCACATGACTATCACTAAGTATAAATACCGACAAATATTGATATGTCCTGCTTATAATTTATTTCATTACACACCAAGTTTCCTCCCTTAAACGACGTTATGTATTTATAGTTTTACCAATCTGATCCGCGGCTGTTAAATGTTATCCAAAACCGTAGCAGCTATAAAAATAACTGTCTAGCCCTTAAAATATTATGACGTCTTTTATAGACATTGTAAACATGAAATGAATAGTTTATTCTTTATCTGAACAGTTGCCATATATTATATAATATATAACCTTGCAAATATTTTACATATATCGATATTTGTATCGATTTCCGCGAAATAACGTTTTTGTTTGAGGTGGTGTAAGTAAAACTTTGAGATTTAAAATGAAGCGTTTGGTAAAATACATTCGTTCTTCTCTTTGTGCGGAGTTTAAATCTCTTAGGTTTTTTTCGCGTGAATATTTCCCTTGAAGACGAAGTGTTCCATTAGCATGCAAAATGCTCCTAAAGCTTCTTCAGACGTACGTATGAAGACAACAAATTCGCGACTTTAAACAGAATCTGGCCTCTGATTACATATCTCTGCATTATTTACTCTCTCTCGGATATTTGGTGCCTAAAACACGTCAGGCTATTTTGAATCTTAATACCTAGGTGTTTGGTTTATATTGTAATGTTAATGTTAGGTTGATAGTAAATTAGACGGGTGTATGTGGAAATGGCATATTGCTCACAGCTTTATACTTTGGAACTTGTTTAAAAGATATGTTTATGAGGAGCTGGAATAATTTTAAAGATAATTTATTATAAATTAATTATTATTTTTTGTACAAATATAAACTTTAGACATAAAATAGAGATCTAATATGAAAATTTACGATAAAAATAAAATTTTTGAATCACGACATATTTATTTTTTAAATACGTTATTATTATATCACTTTCTATTACCTCATTCTAATAAATAAAATTCATTTGTTATTTTTTTATATTAACTACAGATATACGGTTAAAATAACAAGATCTATCTCCACAAAATTGTTTCAAAGCAGTATAAACTATAAGCCTACAAGCGTAATTAAAGCTGGGGATCCATTCAACATGTTTAGTGCAATGTAAATAGATACAGCTCATACGACTCACTCGTCTGACTTTTGAGTCGTCAAAGCCTGATTAAGTTTGACTTGGGAGGATTTGAAGTTCATTTGACTTTGAATACGACAACATCTTATATATAATTAAGTACAAATATAGTACAAATGAATATTTGTTTATGAACTAATGGATATGTTTGTATAATAAATATGAGAGCACAAAAGTGTGACGGTATGTTATTGTTAAGCCAATGTGTTAATGATTATAACAAAATTTGGCTTCAAAATGTTTACTGTTAATAAAGTTATACGCATCGTGTTTTTTCATATATTCTATAGAGACGCATTCAATCATTATAATTAAATTAATGAAGATCGATGAATAGAAAGCAATTAATTTCGCATCTAAAATTGAAAATAAATTTACTGTGAAGACATGATATTGTATTGTATTTAGTAAAACAAAACTGTAGTTACTATTGAACCTGAAATCATAATCGGCTTGTTTTGAAAACTATCTCAGTTAGAGAACACATTTTAAGACCCCAGTTGTGTTTCAGCAAAACTTTTGAGACTGAGTAAAGTTTCGTGTGTATCGACAAGTCTTATATAATATGATGTAACGATGCTAACAACTAATACGATTGTATGTATCACGTTTTACTTTATAGTTTCACGGCTTAACAAATTGTTATGAAGCAGAACATGGTATCAACAATATATTTAATACTAACTGCTACCCGCTGCTTTGTCTGCTAAAAAAATAAAAAATAAACAATGAAAAACCTTTAAGCGTGACGTGCGTCCTGAATCCCACTCGCGAGCGATAACACTTAACTTCGGGATCGGGATAAAAAGTAGAATAAGTTACTACTTATTATATCAGCTACCCGTCAGTAAAAGTGCCGTCACAATCGGTCCAACCATTACAGCGATTAGCCAGAACATTCAGACAGACAGTCAAAAATTAATAAATATATATTTTAGTGTATGTCCCGTATACATATTCATATGCTTGTAGTAAAAAACGGTTATTTCAATATTACAAACAGACACTACAATTTTATTTATTTGTGTAGATTGGATACTGCTGTAAGAATTATTTTTAAACAAGTTTATAATGAATTTAGTTTGTCTATATTCGAACGTTACCTTGAAATTTGGGTTCGGGTATAAGCAAAGTAGGCGGGGAACTAGCCAGTTCAAAAAAGCAAGTTGCCGTGAAGAAATAAAGAAATAGTTGTAATGAGTCATCCGCGTTTAGTATTCTAAAAGATGATAAAATGTAATATATCAATAGATCTGTCTCACTGTCATTTAAACTTATCATTTGAACTTGCTCAATACTTGTTGACTTTTAACTTTTATTCTAAATATTGAACACTATCAAAGCCTTGTTCCGTGTTAATAAGAAAAACATTATCATTACCCAGGTCAGTCATTTACCTAACATTTTATATTGGAAGTGAATTTAAATCACGAAAAAGATTTAACTTTTACGACCATCAACCATTTTATATAAAAATTCTGGATGACGATCGAATTTTATGTGTTTTTATATATTTGTTCAAAACGCAATATATTTTTTTGTGTGCATGAAGACCTAAGATCCATACTAAATTATAATTAGTATGCAAATTAAATGGTTTTACGATTTCTCGATTAAAAGTTGTCACTTCTTTTTGCTAAGACCTTTAATTATACATATATAAATACCTCTAAATTGTATAATTTACTGACACTTATAATACTATAATTACGGCTTATGGGTCAAATATTGTATTAAAAATTCCATTCGTTACTTAATAATTGTCACCTATTTTAATTGATTTCCAATGGCGTATTATATTTTATGGTTAATTTTTTTGTTGACACTTTATATGGAGTTGATATATTTTTGAGTTTTATAAACGCATGCTGTTTGTTTTTCCGTCCCTTATTTACAAAGGTATGAACAATAATTTATTTATAAATGAGGGTAGAGTATATGCAAACAAGAAGGGTCTCGTTTTATTTAATTTGTTTTCGCCGACAAATCTGCAACTTGGTTTATTTATGGGACGTTTATACTTTTTAAGTAAGAGAAATTTGGACGGTACATAGCACTGGTAACTATGTTTTAAAATTATATATAATGAAAATGGAAGTGTCAAAAATTACATTCGAAACTGAAGAGGCAAACAGTTTGAAACCCCAATTTCAAAGAACCTCAAGAAGGTCCATTTTGTTGATCTTTAACGAATTTGCAAGTATTAATTCGACCTTGACATTTGTAACATAAGATGCTCGAACGTCGACTTATAAGTATTTATTATAATGACCTCACTGTATCTCTCAAGTATAATGCATTTGTCTGGGAACAATGAACAAATAGACAATTCCTTTTTAAATTTCCTATACATTTTTCATAGAAGAGATTGTGTGAAAATTACTTTTAAATGCAATCACTTTGAATAGACTTTAAACGATGTTCACGTACATTGTTATTTAAATTCGTAAAAAACTATTGATTTTAGTAAAACTCATATTTACTACGTCTATTACAAATTCCAATCTTTAACTAACATAATCGCAAATCAAATTGCATGTTACCAAAGTAACGTATAGAAATTAAAGGAAAATTAATAAAATATGTTGTTTTAAAATGAATTGATTTTTTTTAAACTCGATTTAACTCACAGTTATCTTGATTATTTTTTCTTTTACGTAATATTTTTAAACATTAAAATAAAATTATGAGTACATTAAATAACTTTATATGGTCATCACCGTCAGAATGATTTAAGCGAGAATTCGAATCGTGAATTCCTTAATAACTCCATTCACTTTGAAGCTGTTACAATCACCAATCTTTCAGTTGTATTCATGCAAAATGAATCAAGTTTTTGGTCTTAGTTTATAATCAAAAATCTGCTAGTATAAATATATAATTAAATCAAATTAAACTACTACCATCTATTATTTCCTACTTTACCTTTGTATTTGTATACTAAACTCACGTTCTCCAATATCTAGTTTAAATAATATTATTATAGAGCGTTTCGTTTGTCCAGACGATATTAAACCGTCAACGTCCTTGCTACATAACTGTCCTTTCTAAATGCCTTCAGTTAAATGTCCCACGATCGTGGAAACAGCAATTTCAAGTCAATTCAAAATATTGCCTGATTATTTGTTTTGTAATTCTATTTAGTTAGTAAGATAAGAATAATGTTTGTCGAATATTATTCAGTACGTATAAATTCACGTAATCAATCGACTGTAACCGATTGCCAATGTGTACGGAAAGTTACAGCCGTGTATGCAATAATGTGCTAAGCCATTGTCATATCTCGTCAGTAAAGGTTACGTAAAGGATAATTATTAAGTAATGATAATACTAACACTATGGCTCAAATAATTTGAAATTAAACTAAGTTATGAATGGACCCAGTTATTAATTTGTATAACTTTCTCTCATTAATAGAATTACGCGAAGCATTCGAAGCTGAAGCGCAAGAAGTGAAGAAACCTCGTCTTCTCCTGACCGCAGCTGTTCCAGTCGGACCTGACAACATCAAAAGTGGTTATGATGTTCCCGCTGTTGCTAGGTAAACATGTCTATTCAGTCTCTGTACTAGTTGTTTAACTAGTTTATGGCAGAGACTTCATCCGCGTGGATATCGAAATTGTGTTTAGAGTAAAACAAATATATGTGCTTTAAAATATTAGTATGACTGGCTGTTACCCACGACTCCATTTGCGTAAAAAAAATTGAAACGAAAAAACTTTTAAGCTCTCCATGCGTGTGCTTTATTTCTGGATCGGGATAATAAGTAGTCTAAGTTACTCCTTACTGCATCAGCTACCTATCAATGAAAGTTCCGTCAAAATAAGTCCAGCCATTTCAGAGATTAACCGGAACATACAGACAGACAGACAAAGAAAAAATAGTAAAAAAATATAGTGTTGTGTATATATACCATTAATATTATATCCATATGCATATAGGAAAAAATAGTTATTTCAAAATTACAAAACAACAATCCTATTATATTTATGTATATAGCATCTTTTACGTTACTCCACTTTATAAAAATCACAAATTTACTATAAATAAAAGAAATTCGTGCAATATTTCACAATTGCAGGACATTTATTATTATAAATCAAACCTTATTCAAATAATATCAACTTCAAGAAGAGACTTGCATTTCTATTCTCACACAGTTGCATTCGATACAAGTATAAATTCTCATATGAAGTCCGTTTTAAAATATAGCCTTCTTTTGAATTCATACTCTTATCAAGTTGTCAGGTTTTCAAAACATATTTATATGAATGCTTCCCTCTGGACACATTTCCATTCTTCATAGAAACTGTAATACATTTTCAAGACGTGAATATTAAAACGCGGAATCATTAATAGCTGCATGAAACCCGAACGACCTTACAAATTTTAAAAATTATGTACAGGAAATATTCGTGACAGGATAATCCCTTAAACGATACACGGAAAAGAAATTGCTTTATTAAAATGACAGGCGTTTTATGTTATTTTATTTTAAACAGTTACTTGGACTTCATAAACGTCATGGCTTACGACTTCCACGGTAAATGGGAGAGGGAGACAGGACACAACGCACCTCTTTATTCTCCATCATCAGATTCGGAATGGAGAAAACAGCTGTCAGTAGATCACGCCGCCCACTTGTGGGTCAAACTTGGTGCTCCCAAGGAGAAACTTGTTATTGGTAAGATTTGACACCTAATACCCTAATTTTTAAACTAGTTTGTACTCTTAAAATCCGTCGTTATCAGCTTATGAGAGCCCACTGCTGAGCAAAGACCTCTTTCTCACATGGAGAAGGTTTGAGCATTATTCACTATGCTTGCTCAAGACGGGTTGGTTATTTCAAACTTATAACTGTAAAACTATAAGTCCAGGTTTCCTCACGATGTTTTCCTTCAACATATGGTCAGTGGTGTCTAAATACTCTCAGAAAGTACATATGACTCCGAAAAATCACATCACTCTTGAAATCCATATTAAGTAAAGTGTAACAAATAACATTGTTTTAATCCTCTAGTTCAAAACATCCCGAGCTGTCTTTGAACGTTTCCAGAGTATTCTAAGAACACACATTTCAGGGATGCCAACCTACGGGCGAACCTTCACCCTGTCCAACAAGAACAATTTTAAAGTAAATTCCCCGGCGAGTGGTGGCGGTAAGGCTGGGGAGTACACAAAGGAGGCGGGCTTCCTGGCGTATTACGAGGTGATTTTAATTAAAAATTATTACTACAGGTATTTGATGCTACACTCACATAATGTCGGTGCGATTAACACATTAAATTCGACGATTCTTAACACATGTATCTTATATAAAAATTCATAATCCCATCACTATATTCTTAACACTTTTCCATATAAAGTAATATATTATGTAAATCGTACCCACATAATGTAAACGAGCTCCAACAACTCTGCCGTTTACAAGCTTGTCTCATAAGAAACTTAGTAGCTGACAAGATCTTTCATTCCAAGGTTAAAGGCCAGATAAAAGGGCTTTCCTTTTTCTTATTTGCAATTTACAGCTCACTTAATGAATACTAAAATTTATGACGCGTTTTACGTCGGTTCAGTCTATCCGATGTTATTTAGGTGTACCTTTTATTAAAAAATCAAGATAATTTTTTCACATTATCACTTTTTAAAAAAGTCAGACGTTTTATTTTAATACGAGTCTGAATGGATGATGAGATTTGATTTAATTTTATTAAAATAGGCATCGGTTTTGAAATAACATTTCAGGATTTTATGTAAATGTTACTTAATAAATTTGTATAGGTTTGTGAAATTTTGAAAAATGGTGGTGCTTATGTTTGGGATGAAGAAATGAAAGTTCCCTACGCCATTCAAGGAGACCAATGGGTCGGCTTTGACGATGAGAGGTCCATAAGAAACAAAATGAGGTATTATTATTACTTATAAAAACATTTCAACTAAATTCAAAGACATTTTATGTATTGAATCAAAGAAACAATTCAAAATCCAATTTCATTAATACTCAGAGTTACAACGAGAACGTCTTATCACAAATCCTTTAAAAGTTTGAATTATCTAAGAGAAAATTAAAAATATTCAGTGAGTTTCTTGAACGTACGAAGTTCCAACATTATTTTAATATTCTGAATAACTTCAGCATTATAAGAGATTTATTTTAAATGGTTCTGTAAACTGTGTTTATGATGCATTATTCATTGCTGTTTTTGTTCACAGGTGGATCAAAGACAATGGTTTTGGCGGTGCCATGGTATGGACAGTTGATATGGATGACTTCTCTGGGTCTGTCTGCGGTGGAGACGTGAAGTACCCTCTGATTGGTGCTATGAGGTCAGTTTATAAAGACTACGAATGCTTATAAGTTTTACGGAGGTATTTGAATAGTTAGCATATTTTCTGCTTTTATATGATTTAATCAAAGAGACTTAACAAATTGAAACAGTTTTATTAGTATTCATAACCAGAGAAATGTAAGCAATATCAGTTTATATTTTGTAGATATATAAATAAAGAATCAAATAAAAGTCAAAATACATATTGTTTTCTCCCATTGTTTTCTCCGTAATGTGAAAACATTGCAATCTTAGCTTTATTTTCTAAAGTTTCATTTAGTAAAGAAAGCTTTATATAGATCTACAGAACGCGAAATGGTTCGTAAACATTTCGTCTCTGTACTTAATGGAGTGAACAAATCAAAATTTTCTTTTATCTGAATTTTCTTGTGCAAAGACTGAAGACAATCAGAGTGTCTAGGAGCACCTTTGACGATGTACAATACTTTTTATATATTGTTAAATGTTATTTCAACAACAAAATAAACTTAATATTGAACTCGACTAATATTTTTATACGATTTTGTTAACAATTACAATTTAAATATGTATGTGTCCTTTCATTCATTAATATATTTTATTAATAAAAGACAATTTAATTTACACACAACAAGGTTTTCAATCTGTAGGTTGGGTATTCAGAAACTTCTGCAGGGTCACAATAGCTTAATGATGAAACAACTTAGACACGAAATTCGGCAAGGTCGGGTTTAAATCCAACTAAATTATTATATGATACTAATATATTCCGATTACTACATGTATTTATTAATTTTACAAACTACACACGTTTCGGTTACTTTACAGAAACCGTGATGACGTTCAGACGAGATGTGAATTAACTAAAATACTCGCGAATTTCTAAGATCACATTAGATTCTAATATAGCAATAATCATCATACAAGGATTTTTTTTTTGTTTCAAGGGAGGAACTTCGTGGTATATCTCGTGGTAAAGACGCGAAGGATGTGGATTGGTCTAAAGTAGCTGCCAGCGTCATCGTGGAAGTGACAGAGAAACCTTCACCCATCAAACTCAGCGTGTCGGAGATACAAGAGAAACTTAGTAAAATCAAGAAACCCACAAAGACTCACGTTATTAAAAATAACAACGCTGTAGCGATTGACAAGAACAGTAAGTGAATCCAATTATCTATAATTTTAATCATTTCTATGTTCATATTTCAGGCTACTCTATTATCATTTTTTCTACATGTTCCCGAAGTTTCGTATACTTTACAGCCACCGTGCAGTATTAAAACAATTGCAAAATGTGTACTAACATGATGATTTTTCTTACAAACGAAAGGTAAAATCTCTAACAGCGCTAAAACCGACTAACTTTATATCATATTTTCATGTAAGACACGAGGAACGATTAATGTTTTTCAATCATCAATTACTTTGGACTTGATGTGGAATAAAAATCAAATCCATGTTACAATTTCCTTCTGGCGTTAAAAACACATTGAGCAAATTATAGCCTACAGAAGCACTTATTTCCTTCGATTTCACCGCAATAACTTTCGAAATTGGTATTGTCTCTTATTACCTTAATATCACATGTTAGCAATACTTAGGTTGTTTTAAATGAATGATGTTATAAAAAATGTTAATTTATAATAAGCCTTTATTAATTATCTTCAGTTTATTAGTATAAAACAGTAACGTTTAGAGTCCGTTATTATAAACTCTAACACACTTATTGTGGCATAAAGCAAACATGAGTCGTAGAAGTGACATTAAAAGCCAATATACAACTGTAAGAGGCAGTAAAAATACTTCTTGATACTTATTCTCAACTGCTGGCAATGACTTCGAAAGACGAGCACCCGTGACACAGTTACTGAAAGTTTCAGACGACGAGTGATTTTATACTTAAGCCGTTAACGGCCAAACTTTTCTGAACCACGGATTTAGATCCGACGTGTTAGATTTACCTTTATGAAAGGGTTTATAGGGCTCTCGATAATTTGGCGTCATCGGAATGGGCTTTGTGAATTGTGATTTAGTCTTACGAGCTCTATGAAGCTGAACGACAATCATTACAAGGGTACTTTTAAGTTTCTCGCGACTTTGTTGTGTAATAAATTATATGTTGGAACGGCGAAAGCAATTTCCTTAAGTACGCTTTCTATAAAGTTTGATGTATATGAGTGACAGTGACTTGGAATGAATGCTTATTACAACGGTTTTATCGGCCTTATAAATTAAAGAAGATTTTTATCTTTTAATATTAAATAAAAATCTGCTATGAAAGTTTTTTAAACATAATCATATAAAGATTGAAATCGGAAAGCAATCTCAAAGATATCAATTTCTATCAGTTAAAGATGGCAGTGTAAGAAATCAAATCTAATAAAGCATCTTCTTCCGCGTGATGGATGATATTCAATATCTTAGAGTCACTAAGATACTACCTAATGTATTTTTTATTGAATCACATTTCAAGCTGGAAGTGAAATCATCATTTTACTTCCCTATATCATATATCATGTGATAGTGAAACATTTGACATTATTTTTCAATGTCACTAAGATGGTTCATGAATCGAGATTTAGTATATAATTTTTTTTCTTATGCTTATATTAAATATGTTTTGTTTTTATAAAATCTTTGGCCTGAATTACATATATGTATATATTTCAAAGAAAGTTGTGTTAGTTACACTATTTATAACTCAAGATCGGCTGTAGGGATATGATTTAAAATTGGCGAGGAGATAGCTTAATACCAGGAGACGGACGTGGGATATTTAATTCTGTTTGCTCGAAAAAAAATACTTGATCAACATTAGGTTATTTATGGCCCCTAGGGTAGAATAGAGTTCGCCCGGTCATCTATACATATATTACTAATGCCGAAATTAATGCGAACGAAGTCGCTGGCAAAAACTAGTTAAAAATAAAAGTTATGAGGTACTCTATAGTATATACATTAAATATCTTTTTCGCAGGACGTGATCCACAAATCCTTTGCTACCTGACCTCCTGGTCGTCTAAACGGCCCAGTGCTGGTCGTTTTATGCCAGAGAACGTTGACCCAACACTCTGTACTCACATTATATACGCCTTCGCTACACTCAAGGATCACAAACTCTCGGAAGGCGACGAAAAGGACTCAGAAATGTACGACAAAGTGGTCGCTTTAAGAGAAAAGAACCCTAACTTGAAGGTAAGATTATTTAATTTTATAATACAGAATATAATAAAGAATTAAGAATCGTTTAAATTAAATCACTTCGCTTTATAAATTAAAGTCGTGCTATGGTCATTAAAGCAACTGTATTATGTGGGCGTACTTTGTTTTATTATAATTAACTTCTCCATTTCAAGAGAACTTGAGGTAAAACAACTTTGTACAGGTGGAGTTACAGCCTCTTGAATGTTTCAAGAAGCAATCTGACTCGAAATCCGATTACGATACTACCCAAGAACAGTTTTGTTTGTAATGGCTTTAGTTTCTTTGGTTATGTTAATTGTGTGAAAAAAAACATACCAAATATTTATTTATTTTTTGTATATTTCAGTACTTTTCATACATTTATTCCTGCAATAAACTCACTTTATTAATCCACTTTATATATTATAAGAATCCTTTTAGTTATAAGACGCAAAAGCTAATATAAATGTTGATATCATCCCAGTTTACAGTATGAAGCTTGTAAACAGTGCTTCTAAAAGCAATATCACAATTTCAAATAATAAACAAGATTCATAACAAACACTCATATATATAAACACAAACGGTCATATTATGTAATGATATCTTAGACTTTTACGAGTATTCATTGAAATAAAATTAATATTTTTTATTATTTAAAACTACATATTCCCGACGTTTCGGATACTTTGCAGCATTTTCGTGATCACTGGCAGACACGATGAATATGTCTCATTTCAAAATATTAGTTTCATTTATGCTTGCTTATAATAGATGTATTGATTTCAGGTATTATTGGCAATCGGAGGCTGGGCGTTCGGTTCGACACCCTTCAAAGAACTCACGTCCAACGTGTTCCGCATGAATCAATTTGTTTACGAAGCCATCGAGTTTCTGAGAGACTATCAGTTCAACGGGCTGGATATTGACTGGGAATATCCAAGGTACAACACCCTCAGCTTTCATCAGCTTTCACGATGATTCTCGTAAAATGTTACTTTAGTCAACATGTATTTTCCATTTCGGCTTAAAATATTTTGTAAGCGTAATATTATAGGACGTTTTATGATACTTTGGATAATAGAAAAGGATACTAAATTCGTCTTGCGTTATTTAACACTTTATGAAAAGTTATATTTTCTCTTTAAATTTACTTATAAATATTTTCTTTTATGATTCCTTACAGAGGTGCTGACGACAGGGCTGCATTTGTTTCTTTACTTAAAGAACTTCGATTGGCCTTTGAAGGAGAAGCGAAGACTTCAGGTCAACCTCGTCTCTTGCTGTCTGCTGCTGTTCCAGCCTCCTTCGAAGCTATTGCGGCTGGATATGACGTCCCTGAAATATCTAAATATTTGGTAAGTAACATGACCAAGGTTATGACAATATAATTTTCTACTTGAATACATTACATATGACGTAGAAGGCCTGAGTAAGGTATTTTATGTGAATATCGCTAAGTATAAATTGACCCATAGTTGTTACTGTGAGCTAAATTTTTAATAAGTTATTGTTACAACATTTAAACTAAAGCAAGTATATATATTATGTAAAATCTTCACCAGGATTACATAAACGTGATGACGTACGACTTCCACGGTCAATGGGAACGTCAAGTTGGTCACAACAGCCCCCTTTTCCCGCTCGAAAGTGCCACAAGCTACCAGAAGAAACTCACCGTGGTATGTATACGAAGTTTAGACCCAACGCTGCCTCTTTTTACACAATTTAACTTTTCAAAGCAAAATAGAGGTATCCACTTTGAAACTCCTTAGTTTTAATAGTTTTAGACGTCGAACTTGTAATAGCTTGTCTTTCTGTTGACCAGTTACAAGCGGTTTAAACTTTCAAAGCAGCCAGTTCAATGTATTCTGAAAAGTTTAAGTGGACTTTTAAAATTTATCTCTCGATTTGGTTAAAGTAATTGCACTTAAAATTATCCTTGATGTTAATGTCAGGAACAGTTTATTTGATATTTACGTAATTATTATTTAAAAATAATGTTTTTTTTGCAAAGAAAATATATTTAAACAAAAATTTTGCCAAAACTTATTTTCATTGTAAATTTTACATATGATTATGGTGTGAATTTTACTGATGTATATCTTTTTACAGGACTATTCAGCTCGGGAGTGGGTTCGTCAAGGTGCACCCAAGGAAAAGCTGATGATAGGAATGCCGACATATGGAAGGTCATTCACTTTGATCAATGAAACTCAATTTGATATCGGAGCACCCGCCTCCGGAGGTGGTGAGTACATGAATAGTTTTTCTAAAACTAAAATAGTCCACAAAGATACAAAAACCTTGATACACTGTCGCTTAAAACCATTAATATAATGAGAATCATTCATTTGACTTAATCCATAACGAGAGTAAAGCATCAAAGGGCATTTTCTTTGCTTTTAATGTGTAAATTCGTGATATAAATATTTAATATTTCAAAAAATTTCACAAAGGTCTAACGGGTCCATTTACAAACGAGGCTGGCTTTATGTCATACTATGAGATCTGCGATTTCCTCCGTGAAGATAACACGACCCTGGTCTGGGACAACGAACAGATGGTACCCTTCGCGTACCGACAGGATCAATGGGTTGGATTTGATGATGAAAGATCACTCAAGACTAAGGTATGTTTACATGAGTACCTCGAATCAGTGATAGTTTTTTCTTAGCATTGGTCATATAAAAATACTATTCACTTAACATTGTTTACCCTTATTCTAATAAGCATTATATACTGCGGAAATACTGCGCCACTAGATACGGCTACACGCTGTCTAAGAATGGCGATTTTTGTTTTTTTGTATTTATTTTGTTTTGTTTTGTTTGTTTTTTATTTTTTATTATTATTTGTTTTTACTAACATTAGTTATAAGGTTGCCGTCTAATACTAAAATTAAAATATAGACTAGGTCTGAGACAAACAAATTAAATTAAATAAACCTTGCACTTTCTTTTTCTAGATGGCATGGCTCAAAGAAGAAGGTTTTGGTGGTATCATGGTATGGTCCGTGGACATGGATGACTTCCGAGGTTCCTGCGGTACCGGCAAATACCCGCTCATAACCACCATGAAGCAGGAGCTTGGAGACTACAAAGTCAGACTGGAGTATGACGGCCCTTATGAATCATCCAACCCTAATGGCCAATACACTACTAAAGATCGTAAGTACATATATTAAAACTACCAAGAATCCTTTAAAATATTGAAGGATATCTTGGTCCCACAACATTTTTTTTCTTGCTTATAAAACTTATTAAAACCCTTATTAATCAAATATTATTGATAATAACATTAATTTTATTTAATACAGCCACCGAAGTGATTTGCGAAGAGGAGGATGGCCACATTTCCTATCACCCAGATAAGGCTGACTGCACCATGTATTACATGTGTGAAGGTGAACGTAAACACCATATGCCATGCCCTTCGAACTTAGTCTTCAACCCCAACGAAAACGTCTGCGATTGGCCTGAAAACGTCGAAGGTTGCACTCACCACACCCAAGCACCACCTGCCAAAAGGTAATCAGTACTTCAAGTAGTCTCTGGTAATAAATACCCAAAAATTTGTTTGACAATACGTAAAATCTTCTGTGATTGGCATTCATATAAGTGATTGCTCGTTTCATAGTGTTTGGATTTATTTATTTTCTAACCGATTTTAGTATCGGACAATTAAATTACAATCAGAATGTGTAGCTGTGTTTGATATAATATAATTTTAATTTTTATATTAGATTTAAATGATCTTTTTATATGTTAATATGAATTCATTAGAATTATACTTCGATTCTCGAAATACTCGTTCTTATCGAAATAGACAAACATGTGTTTAATATAATATATAAATATTCGTGTGATATTTAATACTTAAAACAATCATTATTTGCATAAAATGATTAACTTAATGCAACTTTATCATTTTTAATATCATAAAATTATAGATTATTTTTTTTTTACAATTGGTCGTGTTTCTCAAAGATACACAATTATGACTTTTTTATGTGACGTTTTTTAAAGTGTCGTATTGTGTGTTTTTGTGATACTAATATTTATTAATATAGTTTTAGTTGAACATTTCTGTTTTCTGTCTGTCAATACTCAAATCAGCAACGGATCACTGCCCCTGTCACTATTACCATCGATTGTAAGTAATGGTGACACTTAACGTATAATATTTTGTGACATTAATTTAGATGGAATTTAATGTTTATTATAAGTAGAAAAGTAGTTTTAAGATTTTTGTAAATATTGTATCTAGATACAAAAGAGATGTAAGAGTATTATTAAAAAAATATATAAAATTGAAACAGTTTTTTTTTTCATTTTTGTTTTATTTTTTAGTTGTTTATCGTCTGAAGAAGATTAAACTTGTTTGGATATTTAATTTCAGGATTACGGATTTCGATTTTACGGATGTTAAAAAACTATGTGTTAAAAAATGTTTCCAAAAATTTTCATAAACAGACCATGATAATTTGAATTTATAATAGAGGTAATATTATACATATACGTAAATGTATATATTTCTTAAACTAGACTTTTAGATTAGGCTAATTCTATCTGCTGATATAACCTTCTTAGGTTGTTTTCACACCATTTTCTACTCCTAAGCTAAGTTTATCTAAACTACTTAATTTAAAATTATTTGTAGTTTTGAAGGTAATCTGTATTACAATTGTCAATAACTTGATTACTATCATTATATTATTGACTCCTGCGACGATAACGAAAAATATATGTGACCTGATAAGTTGAATACATCGCTAGTAACTTTTGCAGCATCGACATTATAGTTCAGGGAGGTCAGCCACAAAATTAAAGTTGTATAGAGTAACTTTATAGTGGATCTAATACAGGATGAAACTAAGAGATAAAGTTGGAAAAGATAAAGAAAAATTCGGAAATATTTAAAAAAATATTTTATATTTCTTGATGAACTTAAAAAAAATATCAAGACTATAAATGAACTATAAATCTTTTTCAGAATTTAAAGAAGTAACGTACATAATTAAATATGAAGAACACTTTTGTCTTTTCACTCATAAAACTTACTTAGTTAAATGTGCTTAGAAACGCTTTGACTTAAATAGGAAAGGCTAGTCGACATTTAATTTTCAGTGAACGCGCTCGTACAATGTTCATTGAGAATTTATCCGAAGTCATGTTCGTTGTAGTTGGAACGTAAATGATTACAATATGAAAGCGTTACGAGGCATTGTGTTTATTGTATGAGACTCCATATCCTGATTCCGGTTACGAATGGATTTTCATCCACTAAATACACGTACATCGATAACATACAAGTTTAAACTTTATAACAAAAGCGTAGGGTTATATTTAGAATGCAGTGTGTACGTTTGAGCTGTATTTGTATATGTACATGCGATTTTCTAGTTAGTTTCGCTGTTATACGATAATCAATCATATTGTATAGATATAAGTTCCAAATCAGAATGAAATAACAAATAAATAATAAATAGATAGGAACAATATGGCGCTAATGGAATCCAAATTCTTGATCCTTTTTAATGAATCTATAATTGCTTTTGTAGCGATTTACGGTTTGCTTTGTTGTAAGCGAATTTTTTCTACACATATAAATTTTTTTTACTTACATATATGTATTACGTAAAATGAAATAAAAAAAGTTAATAATTATATCATCAATATTTGGAAAAATCCAAAGATTTTTTTTGACAAAGAGATTCAAAAATACCTTAGATTTCTTTTTTGTTCTGATGACTTCTTGTCATAGCCAATTTTTTTTTAATTTACAACTTTGTACATGTTTGTGTCAGAATAAATGTTTTTTCAACATAATAAATATTAATACTTGATGTTTTATAAACTCCGACATCAAATAAGACAGTTTTTCGTATTATCCGCTGTTATCCCTTAATTTTCAACAAAGTTTCCAAGTGCCCACCAGAGATTTCAACGTCTGTAGCCTGTATCTAGTTATTGAGTTAGCAAATCTTCTGGGATACTTGGATTTATGTTTTATGAGCTTGTCAAACTCAGTTTTCACTGCTGTTATCATAAATAAGATGAAGTAAAAGGAAAAGTACAACCATTAAGATTCATTAATGTACTGAGAAAATTTTAAATAAAAATAATTAATAATTGAGATCAAAAGAAAATTATTTTTCAATTCTTCTTATATTACTTGGTTATTTAAGTCATCAAAAAATGTGCTATTTTATATAGATGATAATATTCATTAAGATATATTTTACACCTGCTAAGCCGAAACGTATTAAATCAATTTAAACGCCGATTACAAAAAGATTATTAATATTCCAAAAGTGCCGTGAACAAATGTTGTACAAAATTAAGTGTGCGTGCGTGACCCGTGTCCAAAGCGACTTCTAATACAAAATATTCATATAATGGAAAGCCTTTCGTATTCCTTTATAATAAAGTCCCATTTCGTAGAACCAGCGACTAGTTTGTGTAAAAGCTTATTAGTATACTTATTATTAACATAAATGATACAACCATAAAACAAGCTTGAAGGGATGATGATTTCTTGACACGGAAAAATGACCTTTATTGTAACGAAAATGTCATTGTTGTGTATAAAATCTCCGCTACACTGTACCGTTCCTTTTGTTATTTCTAAAATTGGATATTATAGAAGTCCTTTGGAAAGTTACAAATTGAATTCCGTCTGAGATTATATTTCCAAAAGTATAAAATGTTATAATAAAAAAAAACATCGAAGACCTGTCCTCGGAGTTTCCAATTGGACTGTTTTATTAAAAATATTATTTGAGAAGTTTTCTCATTAACATGATCTCGCTTGAAGGGAGCTCGAAGGTGACGTTTTATTAGTGCTATTATGAAAATATATGTAACTTTAAAACTTCCTTTATACCTAGACTTTTGAACGTTTATTCCAATTTTATAGAATTATATAAAAAAAACTAACCAATTTTAAAAATTATAATCTTCTTAGATCACCGCTTATTTACAGCTCAAATTAAGTGTGGCTTTATCGAAATAAATCTATAGATAAACATCAAATATGTATATATAATTATATTCAAGCTTCAATTCATTAGTCTATTAACAACCGGCGGTGTCATTAATTATTTTGGCATAAATTGTAACATTGATATACATCATAATAGCTTTGAGATGATTTATCATTTAATTGATGCTTCATCTAACAAATTGTCTAATAAATTGCCTAAATTGCATAACATACTAGTTAATTTACATTTACGATGATCTAGATTCTAAATATTTGCTTATTTAAGCTGACGTTGGGTATAAAATTCACCAATTTTACATATATATTGCAACATTATAACTTATGTTACAAATGCAATTAAGTGACAGGTGTATTTAAGTTAGCTTTCAATTGTTTTTAACAGGTTCTACTTCTTAGTAGCCTGCTATTAACTTTTAGATTTCAAGGAACCAATAACCCTCTAACTAATTACTAAATAAAATAGGTACGTAATTTTCTTTTGCGTTTGTATTATTATAAAATGTTATTCAGTTTAAAATAGTTTTATCAAGAGTACATATCACGTAGTATCTGCACGCGATGTGTGCCCGAAATCTGATCTAGACTAAAATGTTTAAGCTGAAACGACTATATTTTGTTCCCGAGACTTAGACATTGTAGTTGACATTCAGTTTATACTTAACGTAAAGATAAAATAAGGCAAATTATTTTAATATTCTCCTCGACAAAAATGTGTGTTTGAATGAATTGTTACTCAGTCTGGATAAGACAAAAATGGTGCCCAATTGAGAAGTATTAAGCTTAATACAAAAAAAAAATCTTTATTAAATAGATATAGTTTTAACTAAAATCGTTTTCATGCTTGAAGACCTTTTTTCTTCGATACGTTTCAGAATTTTATATAAAAAATATAGAGGCCGAATTCTTTCATATAATCCTGTTTTTATATTTCCTCTACTAAATAGTTTATCCCGTTGGATATTATTGATAATAGAAAAAAGAAATTCACATGTATTTATGATTGAGAAAAAGCGCAACAATGTCACGATCACGACCATTAACACAGATGACGAGATCGGGCCGCTACTTCTAGCTAAAATCTATACCGTATAGGTTTCTTTCACACATAAATATATATAATAAGTATAGAGTATAATATATAAATTGTAGAATAATTCCATAACTGATGTCATTATCGGTAAAAAACTTTCTAATCTGAAATGAGGATTATTTTCATGAGATTATGCAGTATTTAAGGTTTAGTTTTATGCTCTCTCCTATAACTGATATTCATACTTTGAAATTCATATATCAAAAAATAAGTCCTGAACCAGTATAATATAACCCATTATTAGCAAGTATCAAACCAGTATAAAACTAACCCATAAGTAGCACATAAAGTAAAATGCCGTTTACACTTGCGATGTATTTCAATAGTGCTTACCCTAAGAACTGGTTGACACACTAGCCTCGGCTAAAGACTAATGCGACTCGCATTGTCTCGAACTCACTGCTGGTACTTGGTACACATTCACGTGTAATGCTAT